AATTGAAAACATACGTTAAATGACTAATTTATACTTAAATGTACCTTGTATACTTTATTATTCATGTTCAGCAAAACAATATTTATAGTATTGTTTAAGAATTCAAAGACAATACTTAAGACATTACTCTTAAGTCCAATCAACTGTTTGGTAAGATTTTAGTTAAATAAAAGTTTTTATCTAAAAATTGATTTGTGGTCAAAATAGTTCACTCCATACCAGACCTCCCTTTCCTTTGTATGAACGATAAGATTTAGATTTGTTTTTATGTTTGAGATATTTTTCTATATTTTTTGTTGATTTTTGTTTATATTTTAAAGTATTTTAAGAAATTCTAGTCACTTATGATTACAAATATTGTAAACACTTGTTATAATGAACCAGAATTTGAAATGAGAATAATGTGCACTATTGAATGAGTAAGGTTTGTCTGTATATTAATAATATTGTTCTCAAGAATATTCTTGATTTCTCACAGAATTTTCAAATTCCGCAAAATTATATCAAACCGCGAGACGTGTCGGTCACTGGTATCCCCGGATCACCCCATTTATATCGACTCGCATACCGAGCACAACGCCAATTATGATGTATACGAGGGTCACTTCATGAGCCCTTTAGTCCAATACTTGCCTGAATTGGTACCAAAGGAATCACAAATTGCCAGATTTCAGCTCATTTTGCCCAACACTTGGCCACACAATCAATTGAAACCCATTTGCCTTCATTTAGCCGGCACTGGAGATCACGTATGCATACAATCACTCATATCTCATATAACACTCGATATAATGAATACTATTTGTTTGGGGGTTATAACGAGAATTGTGTATAATATGTGTTAAAGGTTTCTGAATTTTGCTTTTAATTACCGGTGCTCTCGGATGTTTGGCTATGGGAACAGTACTATTGGCGTAGGCGTACACTAATGGCCAAACCATTGCTCAAAGAGTACGGAATCGCGTCTATACTTCTGGAGAACCCTTTTTGTGAGTGTTTTTGTTGATGTATTTAATGAATAAATGAATTGTTTTGTAATGTTTGTAATGTCTGTCTATTAGACGGTTGTCGCAAACCGGCCGATCAGACGAGATCTAGTCTTAAGAACGTGTCGGACATCTTCATAATGGGCGGCTGTCTTATACTCGAGTCGTTGGCATTACTCCATTGGTGCGAACGTATGGGCTTTGGGCCCCTTTGTGTCACTGGTATCTCAATGGGTGGACACGTATGTCGTTGAGCTACTAAATTAGCACCGGTAGTAAAATTTACAAATGTTTATTTGTCAACAGAACGCATCCCTGGCCGGCACTAATTGGCACAAACCTATTGGTATAGTCCCGTGTCTGTCGTGGACAACGGCGTCCTGTGCTTTCACACAAGGTTTGCCATATTTGTCGATATATTTGGTGTAAAATATATT